CCGACTAACCAGAACTCAGACGAAGCTTGCTTTTAAAGCCACAGTAGAACAACGAATAGATTATTCTTAGGCTTATGTCATTATAATTGTTACAGTCATCAGGCCATCATCAGAGAATTCTGGTTTACAAAAGCGAAAGTAGATCTTGAGAGTATCCAAGCCAGAATTCAAAATCGATACTACTTCGATTTTAGTTGAAATAACGAGCGTGAGTCAACTACTAGATCTGGCATTGATGTTTTAGAAAATAGCGTTCCAAGTCCCTACCAATAGTCCAATTGGTGCTTTCAAGCAAAAGAGATGGTAGAATTTTTTTTAGATAGGAATCAGACACAACAGATTCAAAAACAAAAAAATCAGGATACACACGATCGAAACCAGAAAAATAGGGATGCTTGAGATTTGGGGCAAAACAATTGGGATAACCCGATTAAATCGGGATGAGTGGCAAGTCTGCACATGTCCTCATACTTTACCAGATTGTTACCTAACACAAAAACAACACACTCTGTAAAAAATGAGGTACTGAAGTACTCTATGGAGCCTTGGCCCACTTACCCCTCTCTATCCTCCACTTTGATTCCCTTCGCTTCTTGACGTTTGCGTGCAATTTCTGCAAATGCCTTTGGTGCCTGTGGGCGAGAACTCATTTGTTTTGCCTCGTCTCTCCAGCATCTCAGAGCCACCCACCATCCACTGACTGAATCCCTGAAGCCATACAACACGTCTGTCACCAGGGTGACAAGAATGGACATCGTGGAACTGATAACCTGAAAAAGATTAAAAAAGAAAGTGGTAAGAATAATGAATCATTTATTGCCTTCACAGGGCAAAGTTTTTGTTGTGCTGTTAACCCCCCATCCCCCTCCCCCCACCACACACACACAACACACACGCAAAACGTTACTATGCAATTACAACAGGCCTATTGTAATACAAGTTGAATGAAACATCAAACTAATACTTTACAAAAGATAATAAGTTGAAATGTGTGTTAAAAGCCTTTATCATAGCAGATGAGGAAGGAATTCCGAAACGAGCGACCACTATGAAACAGAGCAGAACAGAGAGATAAAAAATAGTTTGGGGCAAGGGTAAGGGTATCTAGAGGTAGGTATCGAGCGTTCCCCCCTCCCCCCCTTCCGCTAATTAATTTTCAGTTTTTTGCACCTTTTATTCCACCCCCCTCCCGTTTATTAATTCTGGACCACTTGTCCAACATCCCCCCCCCCCCCCCCTTCATTTGATACCTTAGTAAGGTTAAGAGGTTGGGTCAGGTTAGGTGTTAACCTAGGGGCATCTTCTTTATTGTGACAAGCGGATAGTAAGAGAACGTTAGGTGTACGCCATTGGCCGATATTTATAGTAACAGCCATCTTGTTTGACCTATTCTTTAACATACATATGATTAGAATCTAGGAGCATTATCATTGAATAAAACACTTTGCGAATATGAAAAGAAAACTTTCTTTTTTTACTCCACATTTATTTTTTAGATCAGACAGCGAGACAGTAGGTCTGGAATTTCTTTTTTGGCTTTTGTCAGAATGAAGAATATTATTTTAAGGCACAAACAAGATGGCTGTTACTATAAATATCGACCAATGGCGTAGGCTACTCCTAACGTACTCTAACTATCGCTTGATTGTGTTTGCTCTGGTGGTCGCTCGTTACAGAAGTCCTTCCGCAGATAATATTTTTATATGATCAAGAAAAGTTCTATAGATCTAGACTCTAGATCTAGATTCTAGATCTAAATCTAGATCTAGATGATCTAGAATCTAGTTAACTAGGCCTAGATTCTAGATCCAGTAGCCTAGGCCTAGAGTAGTAGGATTGGGACTCAGACGATTGTGAAAGTTATATTTTATTAACTAAGTCAACTAAGTAGATCTAGAATCTAGATTGTAGATCTAACTGTAGATCTAAGAAAATTACTAGATCTAGACTAGAGATTCTAGATCTAGATCTAGATCTACAATAAGAAGACCCAAAGTCAAAGATCACCAAGACTGCCGAGACAATTTAAAAGATAAAAAGTCATTACACTACTTTACAATTTACACACCTAGATCTAGATCTAGGACTTAGGCTTTACTACGCACCTTACTCAGCAGTCTCAAAGAAGGGCCAGCAGACACTAGACTGTCACCCTAAAACTTGTACCCTTAGTCCTAAAGGCTGAAAGCAAAGGCTAAGAAGGCCCAACCAACCCAACAAAGAAAACACTTGAAGTTGAAGCGGAGGTTGAGGTGAGGAGTGAATCTGTGGGCGCAGTCTATTCTAAACTTCCTACTTTACGAACATTTATAAAAATTAAAAAGAAGCAAAGACACTATCAATAAACTGGCTCGTCTTTCTACAAATAGTATTAGACTTGATATAAGAGACACACAAAAAGAGTAAGACCTGAAATCTGTCAGTGTCCAGGTTGATAAACGCTATCGGAAGGTAGGCTAAAGTAAAGCAAAACAAAAATAAGTATGAAGTGTATAAATTTCCGTCGTGGGTAGGTTCCCTTTGTTTATCTCTCGTATATCCCTTAAAATATTTACAAATAAATAATTATTATCACTCAGTGGGGTCAGTGTTTAAAAGTAAGTCAAATACTGGCTCTGAATTTAATCCCAAAAATTTTTTTAAAGATTATGCTATAGACCAATAGGTTTTCATTTTCAAAACAAAATTCTATGAATCAATTGACATTTTTAAAAGCTGTAAGGATTTCCCATCGTGCGCATTGTAAAACTGAGCTTCCGCCTTTTAGAGCAAACCTCCAACATGGTAGGTCGACATAGCAATGTGGTCCAGGCCATGTGTTCTCATTTCTCTTTAATTTATGACAGAAAAATACGTTACTTGCCTTTCACTTGCATAATTGATCATTTATTTTGAAGACTGACATTCGTTTAACTAAAATGTTGAGAATGAACTGAATTGACGATATAAAATCCAACACCTTTTCATTACGACCAATTACCGATAACATGAAAAGTTACTCTACCCTAGCATGGTCAGTCACATGTGTTTCATTTCTCACTCATTCGTCAAATCTAGATCTACGCTTAAATTAGTTTCAATGATCTCTTTTTCTAAAAATCAATACTCCAGTTCATAAGTATTTCAAATTATTTAGCCAAAGGTTTGAAATTGTGATTTGCTGCCCTTCTTGCTCAAACTTCCCTTCTTTCAGCCTTTCTTAGTCTTGTCTTAGTGGGAAGACCTCTGTGAACTTGTGCCTTTTCTTCTTTGTCAGTGTCAGTTTACAAGTGGATAGTTAGAGAATGACGACTTAAACGTCATTGGCCAATATTTATCTTAGACTGACAGGACAGCCATCTTGTTTGACGTCATTGATGAGGGATTCCCACTTTTTGTCAGTCATGGTGGTAACACAACCGCATGGCGGCAGCCTGCTGACTTGGATTATTTACTTTGCAACTTGCACTGCAGAACTGTTCAATTCAGTTGTCTGTAATTATGCAGCACCCTTCTTCCGCCCACATTGATTTTGATGCTGTACACTACATAGACTGAGAAGAAAACTAATAAGGGTAGGCTGACGTACGAAAGCAAGTTCAGTTCAAATTTCAAAGACGCAATGCAGATGATCGACCGTTGCGATCCGGATCTTTTCTTTTAACCCTAGAAGCGCTCGTTTGGCACTAGTCGAGTTGTGATGTCCGTGTTCAGAGGGGGCGGCCACTTTGTCAAAATCGGTTAGGGAATCTCCAAATTGGGCGGGTTTTTGACAGTTCTCACCCCGCTTATTTCAGCCTTGGTCTAGATCTGTCGTGATCTAGATCTATATTTGATGCTCGGCGAGCGAGAGATATCAAATCTAACTGCAAAGATCAAATTATGATAAAATTCAGGCGGGGGGTGCACACACCCCCAGTCTACTCTTGGGGCCAGAAACCGGCAAAAAAAAAGCACCCAATCTGGAGATTCCCTTATTGGTTTTGTCTAAATTGCCGGGACATCACAACTCGACTAGTCCCCCAGCGTTTCACCGGAAGTAACCCGCCAAAAATGCCCGTCGCCATGGCCGATCAGTTGTAAAACATGGGTGTTTGGGGGGGGGGTGTCAGCTGAGATACCCGAGGTGAATACCTGGCTACTGAAAATGACCATTTACAGGTGATAAAAGGCATATGAAACAATATATTTTCTTTAAGCTGATAGAATGAGCCATTCAATAAGGCCACCTCTATTCACACGGGGTGAGAATAGCGCTGTCGAGTCTTTGGCTATTCTCACCCCCGGTGCTCGTTCACCCTGAACCACAGAATTCTACTCTGTGATAACAGAAAAATTGTAGAATTCTGTGCCGTGTACAAACGTTCCGTTACTGTTAAGTCTAAAAGTTGTCTGTGGGCAGTAGAGAGAAAAAGAGGAGTAGAGCGAGAACTTCGGGGCAAAACAAAATGGCGACAAGAGTAGTTCCGCTCAATTCGAAAAGTTAAATAGCCGTAGCATCTTTGTAGACGACCAAATTAATTTGCTTTTGTGCTATAAGCCTAGTGTAATTTTTTCTTTGCTTTTTAATTTTATCCATTTGATCATCCACACCGATAGAATCTAGAAAGTATTCCGAAATTAGGGAAAACATCTTGTTTCACACCGGGTGAGAATAGCCCACGGTGGCAAGTCTCACCCAGGGTGAGAGTTCGATCGTATTTTTATTCTCACCCCGTGTGACGATAGCCACTTCCATTCAATAATGATAAGCGATCAAATGAATACAAACAAAGCGCAAAACAAGATAAACTCGGCTTGAATTTCAACGTGGAGATGGCAGTAGATCTCTCTATCCTCTATAGTGTGCTCAAATTTGGAACGTTCTCTGTGTCGAGTAGTTGTTTAGACCCTGTCACAAATGCACGACTACCCCAAAATGACTTTGCACAGAGACCGGCCATTTTCCCCTCACTCTCATGGCAAATGTATGTGACCTACAAATCCCTGCATTACTATTCCGAGCCTGTTCGTTGGTCAGTTTGGCGTGGTCTAAAGTCATCAGAGAAAGCTTTGTCATTATTTAGTCACGCTGCCAACATATTCTTAAAGATCCAATGCTGTGATAAGATGCTATAATTAAAATCACCCCAAACACACCTGTTTCGCAAAATCGTAATATGTACACCAAAATTTTAATTATAACAATAACTACGAAATGTTTGGTAAGTCTGGCAGCAGAAATGATTTGTCCGCCCAAAAACACATTGGGTAGCTAAGTTTCTCTCTTTAACGCTCCCAATATGAGATATATCGTCGATTATCTTTCAGCATCTGCTACTGCGTTGTCCGTATTTTGTCGACCGTTACAACCTTATAACTTTTTTTAAATTTATGAACCGATTCTTAAAGGTCAAGAAGCATAATTCTTAGAATTGAAAATTCTTTCTTAGGTACCATATAAAAAGGGCTAAATGAAAAATTAAATTTTCATCGGCATTGCTACATTATTTACACAATCGTCTGCGATAAAAGCGGAAGTTGGTTTAAAAGGGGGGTGCGAGGAGCCCCCTGCTAAATTCACAAAAATAATGGTTTGTAACTTTTTTTCTGCCAAGATTGTTCTCAGCTCACTAAAAAATTGTTAAAATAGTGCTGAAAAATAGTCTGAATTGGGTGTGGACCTTTGTGTGTGTTAGGAACTGCCTGTTTTTCTCTGTTTCATTGTGTGTTTTATTTGGGTTGTCGTTTGTTTTTTATATTTTTGTGCTTTCATTTCCTTTTTTGGTTGTATTTTCTAGGGGGCTAAGAAAGCCGATCCAAAGGCGTCTGGAAAGGGAGGCAAGACCTCCGCAAAGCCCAAGAAAGAGGGATCTGGTGGAAAGGCTAAGAAGAAGGTGAGATTGTAGCTTGTTTCGTTTCTCCTCCCTGACCCTATGCTTTGGGGATGGGCTGATTTTGATCCCAAGTGTTTATGTTGGTTTGAGAATAAATGTGTTGGGTGTGACAGTGGAGTTTGTAGTATTCTGCTAGTTGTTCTGAATTGAGATGTTTGTCTAATGGAAAGCAGTACATTACATTGGAGATTATAAATGGCACACACGTGCATTTTAGCGATTTTTATGTTCCCTGATCAATACCAAACAAGTTTAAAGTGAAAAAAATCTTTTTATGAGACATCAGCTGGCGACTAACACTGGATTTTTAGTCACCAAACTGGGTCAAATGCTTGTTAATCAACTTAGTGTCTGGGAATTTTATTTTATTTTAAAAATACATCTTAATTCAGTAGCTTATGTTTAACATATTAACAAATATATGTTTCAAAAGTCTGCATAGTAATTTTCCATATTCCTGTCTTCCGTTTGATATTTTGTTTATTAATCAGAAGTCATTTTTTAGCTCTTCTGTACATATATTTTGAGGGTTTGGTTTTTATCTCTCTTGGCTATCAAATGTTGTTACATTTTGAAAATGGGCCATTTGTTTTATTTACCTGTAACCTGTTGTCACAAATATTTTGCTTCTTCTTTCTCCTATCAAGCATCTATCGTCCTTATCTCCCCTTCATCTTTTTTATGTTTGTTACTCTCTTGTAACAGCTCTAATCTTCTGGCGCTCGTATGACCTTATGCAGTTGCGAGCGCCGTAAAACCCCTACTAAACTAAAAATATTTTTTTCTGTCCAGAACCTTATTGTTTGTTGGGTTGTTGTTTTTTTTTCTCACGAGTTCAGAAGTGGTCGAAGGGAAAAGTCCGCGACAAGCTGAACAACTTGATCCTCTTCGACAAGGCTACCTATGACAAATTGTACAAAGAGGTTCCCAGCTACAAGCTCATCACCCCTTCTGTTGTGTCTGAAAGATTGAAGGTCAGAGGTTCCCTCGCCAAACAAGCTCTGCGAGAACTCCACGGAAAAGGTTAGTTGTTGGGTTGGAGTGTAGGCAGTTCGGGGGGGGGGGCATTTTCGGTTGGGCTGGTGGTGTTTTGTTTTAATATACTTTTTTTTTAAACACAAATTGGCTCGCCAAAGAGTTAGTTTTTGCTTGTGCATGTAGTTCTTATCTTTTGATAATGATTTTCTAGTGTTTTAGTTGTCACATGTTTTATATTCAATAGAGCATGTGTGTGCTTCTTGTGGTCTATTATCTATATTCTCGTAAATGGGATATTGGCAATGCCTAAGAGTAAATAGATTTTTCGCTTTTGCCCTTTTTTATTTGGTACCTCCGGAAGTTTTCGGTTCTCGAGACAGACGGGTGGTGGTTTGTTTATGATAAATTCTGTACAACTGCGTGACACAGGATGTACAAATTTGAGGACATTGTAGGGGACGGATAGATCTTTTACCTCCTTCGCCTTGAAATTCAAGCTCCTTGTAGTTTATGGAATATTGGATAAGAAAGAGTTTCTGACATAAAGATGTAGGTTAATTTATGTGTACAAACTTCAACGTCCACATATCATTAGTTTGCCATATTTTCTGATTGGCTGCCAGCTTTCATTCACATTGGTCCAGTGGGTGGTTGATGGGTGCTCCGATGTGGTTTGTTTCTTCTTTCCTATCAAACATCTATTGCCCTTATCTCCCCTCCTTCTATTTTATGTTTGTTACTGTCTTGTAACACCTCCAATCTTCTGGCTCTCATATGACCTTATGCAGTTGCGAGCGCCGTAAAACCTCTACTAAAATTATAACATTGGTCCAGAAATAGAGCCGAACGAGTTTGAGGTTTTTCACCTTCGTTTCAAGCAGGTCGAAGAATACACCTGTAAATGGGGACTAACATTTTGCAGCGCTCAGAAACCCAATTAGCATTGCTAGTGATATGCATTTCAATGTTTATGTGCAGCTCATCTTGAATTTATAGGATTTTTGTACTGCTGTCATTGACATCAGTGTGTTAGTGTTATTGGGGGGGGGGGGGTTGTGTTATCCATGCTGTTGAGTGTCATGAGTACATCAATGCCGAGAGGTTGCCTTCTCTTTTCCTTCCTTCCTTCCCCCCAGTCATAGCCTTTTTAGATAAAACTGGTAGGTGGTTGGTGCGTGCTCTGGTGTGGTTTGCTTCTTCTTCCCCATCGAACATCTATCATCCTTATTATGTTTGTTACACTCTTGTAAAAGTGGGGAGACATGGAATAAATCAAAGGGCTAACCCAAGATAGAGAACGGTGGGAGTTGTCAGTCAATGGCAGGGTGAGAAAGGCAATGATGAAGATGACTCTCTTGTAATGCACCTCTAATCTTCTGGCACTCATATAACCTTATGCAGTTGCGAGCGCCGTAAAATCTCTACTAAAAGTGAACTGAAATAAAAACTGGTCGTCACACTTCAAACAAATAAATACTTGGTTAATTAAAAATTACCATTCTATCATAGTCATGGTCACTCTGTCTGTGAGTTAAATGTTTCTATAAAATTAGGAGATAACATTTGAGGATTAGTTTGTCAGACATGAAGAACCCCCGCGCCCGCCAGTGCCACTGACTAGTGTCTTTAAGCCATTCCCAAAGGGGGGCATTTCTCGTTCAAGCACATTAGGTTTGTAAATGAGCTGACTCATGTCACACTCGTTACTGCCTGATCTACAACAGGGAACTGCTGCTTTATGTTTCCTGATCCTTACTATTGTCATTTTCCTCTACTTCTTTTGTATGTTTGTCACTCTCTTGGGACCTGCTATTTCCGGGGTGCCTTGATAGTCGAAGCAGACCTTGGCGCTCATATGACCTTATGCAGTTGCGAGCGCCGTATTTTCCTATACCGCTGGTCGACTTTATCGTTTAATTCCCAGTGCTAGAAACAGGGGATGTAACTCCAGATGACTCTGTCGCGAGCAGAAATTACAGATAATGTTATGAGAGCAGTTCTACACCGAAAGTTTGGAGGTTTTGCGAGTTTTTAAGAAAAATTAGTCAATTTGCCAGGCCCTTCAGGCCGCAAAATTTTTGACATTTTTTATCCGAACCAGACCCCAATAATGATCTCCCAGTCGGATATATCGATAAATATGACCGTTGAAGACGATTGCATGGTTCCGCATAACATCGATGATGATTTTGACGATAGTGGAATTGGCAGGGGATCACCACTAAAGCTACCAGAGGCTAGATCTACGGCTGGGTCTAATGATACTTTGACTGAAGTGGAGTCGGGGATCACACTTAAGACGTAACTCATAGAGTTGGCAAACTTCAGTAAAATCTAACAACAATTAAAGACACAGATAAAATAATGAACCAACCTAATTTTTTCTAGTATCTCAATTCAGGATTCTAGGGAGGTATGAAAAAACAATTCAGGGTTTTAAGGGTTAAGTTAGCCTGAAAATGGGAGCCCTCTCCCAATTGTTTTTCCAGGTGATAAAATGGGGTGGGGGTCCTTCCCAAGCCCCCTAAAGAAAGCTGTTTTAATGTTGATTCGTTTTATATAAAATTACAACTGTGTTTTGGTAAAGTCAGAGGTCTGTTACATACATTTCTTTTTTTCCCCACAGGTCTTATCCGATTGGTTTCTAAACACAGCTCTCAGATGATCTACACAAGAGCAACCAAGGGAGATAAGGAAGAGGCTTGAAATGTTCAATTTTCAATAAATTCGAAAAACTAATGCTTTTGAGTTTTTGTTTTGTTTTTTAAATTGTTTTGTGATTGGAATATAGTTTCCCCTGTGTTTGTGTTGTTAGTATTTCTGTCTAACACACCTTTTCTTTCCACAATGTTCTGGTTGTTGTATTTTTCCCCTCTGGCATTGTCTCCTTTTGTCTCACATACAGAAGTGTTCTGGTTATCTACAGCTGTCTTCCATTATAATTGCTGCACTGTCTTCAGCAGTTTCTTATTTTGTTGCAATAGTTTGTAGGCTTCTTCTCTAGTGGTAAATTTCAAATCCCAGGTGGTGTTGGCTTTGTCTTGAAAATATTTAAATTCTTTCTACACCCTAATCAACACATTATTAGAGCATTTAAGATGCAGGTTTCTGACCATGCCTGTTGGGGTTTGGGTGGGATACGTCTCAGGTGGAAATTCAAGGTAGTGTGTAAAAATTTCCTAGAACTTGTCTACTCCTGCAGATGGGTGATAGCGCAATACCAGACTGCTGCTAGATCTGTGGTTTTGATGTGCTGCTCTGAATATTTCATTTTCATGTAGTGACAAGTTGTCCACTAACTACAAGTGTTATTTATTATAATAGAATAGGGCCATTCGCACTCAATAGCAAGCTCTATGGGCTTTGTAATCCAAATTATTTCTCCAGCAGACCTAATAGTAATAGCATTCTGAAACAATCTCCACTTCCATTCAGCGAAGCATACAGTGCCATCTGCCATTTTATATGGGGGTGCAAAAGCAAACATGCTGACAAGACTTTTCGCTATCTATGGCCAGTTACCCATTCACATGTGGGTGGTTGGCGGGTGCTCTGGTGTGGTTTGCTCCTTCTTTCCTATCAAACATCTGTTGTCCTTATCTCCCCTCCTTTTTTGTGTATGTTACTCTCTTGTAACCCATAACCTATTCTTCGGCACTTATATGACCTTATTGTGTTGCAAGTGCCGTAAAACTCTTACTAAAACTAAACTAAACCATGTGGGTGAAATGAAGAAAAATGTAGCCTACACAGTACAGTGCTTTTCCAAAGAACAATGATGGACACGAGGCTCGTACCCCTAGACTCGCAACCTTACGATTACAAGTGCAAGCCCGATCGATAGTCCTGGTAAAAAAAAAATGGGTTTGTGCTTTGGCTTGGGTCTTGGTGTACTGAACTGTCTGTCAAAGGTGATCTGATCTGCTCCTTGACCTTGCCTGTCTTTCTGATGATATCTTCCGTTTTTGTGTTTGTTGCTCTCTTATAAACTGTTTTTGTCTGTCGTATCTTTTTTAGCATTAAATTAGACCGTTATTGTATCGATGTGCTTCTCTTTCCTCAAACAAGGTCTTATGCACAGTAGAAGTAGAACATTGTAAATGGGCTGATTTGTCATGGCCATACTCACACATACTGTGTCGGAACTGCTGCTTTTTCTTTCCTAATCCTTACTTATTTCAGTGGGTGTCGCATTCGAGGTTGCCGGGACCGGCTCGTTAAAGAAAAGAAAGGAGACACGTTTTTAGACCTATATACTATATAATAAATGTATATGTATTATTTTATTAATATATTACACGATGTACCAGTAATAGTTGTTCCTCCTGATGACGAAAATCTCAAACCACAGTGTGCGCATGTTTGAGC